TTGTTGATTGCTGTTTATGGTATCAAGCAGATCACATATTGTAATCTGGATATTTTGGGTTTCCAATTGGAGATGATGATGAAGAATTTTTATCCTATGAATGATCCCCATTTACGCATTAATGTAAAAAAAAATAACAAAAAGAGTAGTTTAGTAAAAAGGCTTGTCGGCAAATTTATTTTCCGTAGCTGTACAATCTCATTTTAATGGACTTTTTTCTTGAAAGAAGGTAGTAATAAAAGTGATGAGTTGTCATAATCATACTTATATTATTATTGGTTAGTGCATAAGAAGAGTCGAATAAGTGTTTTAAAGTTACGTAATAGGACGATTAATTTGATGAGTGAGTTTTAATCAGCATCCACATAGAAGCGACAGCAAAATGTGAAACTACATAAGATTTTTAAAGAAATTCACGAGTTAGAGGGATTTAAATAACAAACGAACAAAAATTAAGCTTGTAGAAATCAACAAGACAGTTATCATGACACTGGTGGAAGTTGTTGAATAATTTTCTTTTGTATACAGAGCTTCAGTGTTTATCTGAATGGTTAAAGCTTCAGCACTGCAAAAGAGACGAAAGCGTTGTTCTTCACTTTGTAGATTAATTTGAGGGAGGCGTTTGTTGAGATGGAATGACCACTGTTGACAAGGTGGTCTATCATCGCACTCCTTATGTAGAGCCAGCCACTACTTACCTTTCTGCAACCATGCCGGATAATGGTCGTGAGCCCTTTTAAACAGGAAACGCACCGGAAGAGCAATGTACCTAGCACCACAAGAACAGGTGGAGGGATATATGGACATATAAGTGGTCAGTTGCAAGATCTTATCTTGCAGGCTTCTCTGTATAGCAATGGATGACTAGAGGGCACAGCTTTTAGTGTTACTGCGAAGATGGAAGGCTCTTGTCAAAGATACCGGAATTCTCTTCTCTTAAGGATATCTCAGGTTAAGTCTCCCTTGAAATCCAGGTCTGTCTAAAGTTTCTTTTTTGGAATGAGTAATATTTCGTTCCTCTGAACTTTTGGTTTAATATTCTTGTGAATAAAGCTCGGTGTGTATCCATTTTGAATGAAGATTTATTTCAGAAGGTCTGATTCGGCCTGTGAGACGTCAGGGTTACAGATACATCGGATCCAAGTGGCAAGGAGTTTCAGTTTTCATCTCGAAATGTGTAACTTGTAAACAGCAAATTTGATTCTGTCAATAAATACTAATTTATATATTATATTATTGTTGAAGACTTTATCTGTCAGGGCTAGTGGCAAATTTTGAGGTATTTTTTTACGAAGTATACTCATCAATATGAAATGTCAGCAAAGGGTTTTCTTAGTCGTTAACGACGAGGTTGTGAAGTTACATCGATTGAGATTGTTAGGACATGTGTTGCGTATGTCTATTGCTATTGCCTTCCTCGACAGTGAATTTTAGCTGACATAGGATCAGGTTCGAAAAGAGAAAGCCAGTAGTGGTCATATGAAACATAACTTCATTAGTCAATGGAATCTCTAGCAGTTAGTTTAAGCCAGCCATGTAGGAAGGTGTAGGGTTGGTGTCTTCAATATGGTAAAAAGGCTGGATACGATTGGTGATCTGGCTAAAAATCGTTCTCAGTGAGTTGCGTAAATGCATTCACTCTATCATTCATAATATCCAATACAATTGTATTGTTCTTCCACATAACTATTCCTTTTGCCTCATATTTCTGTTTATTATTTCTATTTCGAATCTCTTCTCTTGCTTTATGTGCTACTCGGAGGGAGTGTTCCAACTTGAACTGGTGTACATGTGTGCAAAGTTCTACGTTGAATTAAGTCAGTTAGTTATATATGCTTACATTTCTTATGCCATTTATAATGTCAAATGTGTCACATATTGGATTAAACTTGGCCTTCTGATAAAAAAGTTCATCTCAGACTTCATACGACGTGAAAGATTTCATTCCGTTTAGTCTCACCAGTTGATTTATTTGACAACCAAGAATTCGGACACGATTTACTACTTGTTTCTTTTTAACTGCCTGAGTCATTTAGGATGCGCTAATTGACGAGTATGGTTCAAACTGTCAAATGGGACCGGAATGGTAGACTAATGAGCCAATACTAACTTAAGTGCGCTGGCTAATCTGTCGTAGTCGCATGTCAACAGCAACAACAACCATAACACCGCCCTCATGCAAGAGACAGAAGAGAAGACCGGACGTTGGTTAGAGAGCTTTTGCTGTCTCAAAACAACAGTCAGAATAGTTGGCAGAGCTTGAGTATATATATATGTATATGCTTAAGATGACCTTGAGAAGCACTAATGTCATCGGCAAATTAAGGCAGTGAACAGCCAATAGGATTTCAGAGGTCATAGGTAGGGTGAGAAAAATACAAACAGACATGTAAAAATGAGATAAAGATAATTAGGTCTATGTTTCAACGTTTGCTGGTGTCATTCGAAAAATCATTTTGATAATATGATGGTCTCATGGGAGGAAATCTCCGTACGATATATATAAGTTATCCGATTCATGTGAAGAGTTTTGAATTATTCGCACTTGTCGTCAGTGTAATGCTTATAATACATAACTAAGAGAGAGGGAGAGAGAGAGACTGAAAGATGTATTGGATGCCTAAGCCCGCTCTCCGGAACAAGCTGGATTCGGAAAAGGCATATCTTGTACTGATCAAATTGCAACTCTACACATCGTCGTTATCAAGTAAAGCATAGAATGGCAATCAAACCTCTATGTCAGCTTCATCGAATTCGAGGGGGCGTCCGACAGTGTTGACCGAGAGGTAATTCGGAAACTACTTCAATACTATGGCGTGCACTCCGCCAAATATTCATCAACTTCATTCAACCACTGTCTCAGGTGATCTACAACAGAAAACTCAGGAAGGCTTTCGAAGTGAATACAGGATTAAAATAAGACTGCCTATTATCATTGATGATATTCCTGACTGGTAGACTGGATCAATCGTCAGACTGTGGGGAATGAGATGATATAAATACGTTGGACCAACAAGAAGACTCCAGGAGATCTGGACTTCGCAGATGATTTATGTTTAATGTCACACAAAGTCGAAGATCTACAGAAGAAGACCAACAGGTTTGCAGAAGAGACAGGCAGCGAAGACAGGAATCCAGGTGAATATAGAGAAGACGAAGGCAATCAAGACAACCACCTAACCACAACAAACACCAATCACTATCAACAATAGAAATTTGAGAAAGGGTTACTCCCGTCACTCATGTTAGGAAGCATCATTTCCACTACAGGCGGAACAAATGGGGTTGTCAAAGCTGGCCAGCATCGGAATGGCAAGGTTCACCTTCATCAATCTGAAGTCATTGTGGAAATATAACGCACTCAGCATAAACAACAAGATTCGAATTTTCAACCCCAATGTAAAATCAGTTCTTTTCTGTGAATCAGAAATTTGGCGAACGGATCATAAAGAGGATTTCCTACAGTCTGTTGCAGACTTTTATCAACCAACAGCTGCCTTCGTTGGCTCCATACTGAAGACCAAATGGCCGGTCGGAAGAGGAACTCTGGCAGCTAACTAATCAGAACCTATTGCTCAACAAATATGCCGAAGGAAATCGAGATGGATCGGACACGCTGAGGAGACAATTGACTGATATCACGCGCCAGGCTAGTGCTCGACTGGAATCGGTATGTGAAAGGGCAAAATGGACCTTGGTCTGAGGGTGACATTGAGGAGATTGTGTGGAAAGGAGAAGGGAGTTTTTTTTGGCAAATTGTGAAACCAACTAGAGAGGACCGCGGAGAACAGAACAAAATGGATATATGCTGTTGATGGTCTATGTTCCACTTGGAACCCAAGTGAACAACAGTAATATTATACTTAGTATGAAGCTATTCAATGTAATAGTTGATTTTGTTCAGTTAATTCATGGATAATCCCCATCCAGGCATTAATATAAATAAAACACGTAGTTCAACGAAGAGTCTCTTTTCGGCGAATTCATTTTCTTAACCGTACAATCACAAATATATAAGCGTTATTTTGTATCCATGTGTACAATAATTTTGTCAAACCACTTTAACAACTTTGTTGATTTTGATGACTTAATTTTGTTTCTTTGCCTGTCCTTTAATTGCTTTTATAATTCTTCTATTCATTTAGAACTCTTACGTAATTTCGTATTATCTACTTTGTTTGTATGTGCATCCTGAGTAAAACTCACTCATCAAACTATTTATATCATTACGTAACTTCTTCCAACAACTGTTTGTGACAACTCATCACCTTTGTTACTACCCTAATTTCATTAACACCTAATTTTCTTGACTGATTTTGTATTACGTAACTCCAACAACCAATCTTCACCTGTTTAGTTCAAATAACCATAACCAATTGTATTTTTGTTTGACAAAATGAATGTACACAAAATAACACAGATATATTTACGATTGTACAGCTAAGAAAACGAATTCGTCGAAAAGCGACTTTTCGCTGAACTACGTGTTTTGTTTTCATTAAATTTGTTCAGTTAATCAATTCACTCAAGAATTGTGTAGATATGGCTTATTTTCTCTTAAAAATAGTCAGCTTTCAGACAATAGCTACTGGGTTCGAGTCCCACTCTGTCAACTTCAGTCTAGACTACTGAATAGCATCATCATCATCAGCACTCTCTCTCTCTCTCTCATGCAGAAAGTGGTACATGAAAAGTCTGTTCCAGATAACTACCAACCAACATGGCCGGGGTTTCGATCCCCTGCCGGCGCACACCTGATATCTATAGTCGGCCTGCAAAATATGGGCTACCGATATCACATGCTGAAAATTTCATACTCGTATCAAAAATATGGCGTGGAATCAAGCTATAATCAAAAAAGGAAAATTATATAAATTAATTTTCAGATTGCAACGCTAATTAACACTGGAATAGAATTCAAAATGCCGTTTGTATCTAACCTTTTTGTTTCATTTATTATCTATTCATGCATAAACATTTTCTTTTGTTTTTTGTTTTAGAAATACGGATTAATTCGTATACACGATGAATTAGATCAGAATTATGAAATTGGTCAACTTCAACATGATGATATCGCAAAATCGCTACTTGATTTAAGTTGTACAATTAAACAGCATATTGAGGAAAATTGTTTTTCAGAGGGTGAATTATTACAGATTGTTTTCATACCTCAAATGGTGTCGTCCCCGGCGTCCCCGTCGTCGTCGTAGTAGTAGTCATCACCGCCAGCACTAACATCCTCATCTTCATCAGAATGTTCTTGTCCTACTTTGCCTTCAACGCATACACACATACACGTACACTTAAGTGCTTTGCGAAAGACTTCACCGTTTCTTTCTTATTCTCTCTCTCTGATCACCAACAGTATAAGACGTCTTACTAGAGTATTCATATACATCAGAATAAATTTTTTTCAAAATCTAGTTCGCTTATAATCCATTATGTTTTGGATAACTTAGCACAACAATGCCTTAATCTGGCAGGCATTCATTTCTACTTTTCACATTTCGTCTCTACTGAACAAAAGAAAAAAAATCTATTCGTTTATAGTTTTGCGGGATGAAAATGATTTGCTTGCAATACTTTTTGTGTTTATTATTCAATCTGTTCACCTCAAAGTTCTGTTGTTTTCCTCTTCTTCTTATGTTGGTTCTACTTAATTTCCCATCTAACTTAGCTTGTTGGACGACTGGATAGTATCATTAGCTGACATGCATGCAAACACTCACACACACTCACAACAAATGTGACTTGTAGCCTGCTAGTCACATACATAAGTAGTGAGAATATACTGATTGACTAGTTGGTTGGCGAACGTTTCGATATCGCTTTAGATATCATTGTAAATATATACACGTTATGTATTCTAAGCTTTACTTGTTTCGTAATATATGCTGAAATAAGCGCTGTTTTTTTTAAGTGAGTTCCTCATTTTGCTTCTGAATTACACGTGTGTACATCCACTACTCTTCCATGAAGCGTGGATTGTCACTAATTACGTGTTCAACCTTCTATCATTTTACGGTGTATATACGTACGTGTTAAGAACTAAAATTTGAATGGTGCTGATGATAATAACAGGGAATTCATGTCCAAACGGTTGTTATGTAGCCGTTTTTCACTCATATAAAATTAAAATTTGAGTGAGCTATTTTGGTAGAGTATATTTCCATAAAAAACATACAACCCGACCGAAAGCTGCTACCTTGACGTGGTGGTCGGGCTTGAACACCGCAATGACCTAATCAAGCTATACTGGCTGAGACTTATGTCTCTTGAGGTTCTACCATGCCAGGCAGGTTGTTTGGATAGCGGTTAAACAAAAAGCAGCTACCCCATCCAATACCATGATTCAAACAAATTCACAAAATTTCATGCCGGATCGGCCGTGGCCCGGATTAACAACGACCGCGCTTCCTGCTGCCGTGTTACAGGGCAGGAGTGATAAGTATGCTACTGAGGCACACCAAACAGAACAAACAAAAACAGGCCGCGTGTGACCGGCCACAAGCAGTTGTCCCCTGGGCTGTGCGGTCACGCAACCAACTTCCACAGTGTGGGCAGCAGGGAAGTAACAAACGCCCTCACAATCCGAAATGCACACAAAACCTCTCTAATCCTCACTTATCTTTGTCTTCATCTTCATCTCTATTACCTTGCCTTCCTCCCACTGATGCAACTCCTCTACTTGATGGCTCCTCACTCCCTCTGCACTCTGTGTCCACTAAAAACGACATGGCAACTCGAACTGCTGCACTTCGGTGCCAAGTTCTATGTTGAATCCAGACAGACAACTGAATTCGAAAGTTCTATCACTCTGTATCGTCTTTATTCTTCTTTCATTCTTTTAAGTTCCCAGCGGAACATAGGAAGGCCTTAAGTTTCGGCAGTAGCAGTGGTGTTCATTTTTACGGGATGGGGGTTGCTACCCTCATGCCCAACCAACCTTCCTTCTTTACCAGTCTTATTATTGGCTTAGCGAGGTAAAGAAGGAGTGCGTCGGTGGCTGGGGGATCGAACCTCGAACCACATGCATGGTCGGCGAGCATTCTATCGTTGTGCCACTGACTCACATCATTCTGTGTGCTTGATCAAATCCTGAAAACAGTTAATTAACACGGAATCATTTCAGCAAAGTTGCCAGTAAGAACATAGATGCAGACTCATTTGATAGTTTTCATTGTAGACTACAATCTAAGTAAGCGAATACGTATCTCCGGTGAATTCTTTCATATCAGGCTTTGCAATAACTGAATAAAAACATCGGTCGTAGACATTTGAAATAATAAGGATCAGTTGTAATCAGAGATGTGAGTTATTGGATAACAAATAAAATTAATATTTCACCGAGAAAGATAACTAATCTGGATTGGGGTTGAAGGCCATTGGAGGGAGCAGGACTGAATAGACTTTTACTGAACACAGAGATCGGATTGAAAAATTTTTTATGTCAACTTCCTCAGTTATACCTAACAACCGAAGACTTACAAACTTAGGGAATTAAGATGTGGCACCTTGTACATAATTGTAAAGGCGGGATTTTTTTTATCATTCTTGTGATTCGTATCCAGAAGGTATGCCAATACGGAATCTCTGATTAACTTTACGATCACAAAGCACTTTTTCATAGTTATGATTTCCCGTTGATATTTCTAGCAGCAGGATCCGTGTTCCTTCCAGTTTAGGACTTGTTCGGTGGGTATACCTGCATCCCAGTATGCGACGATATTCTTACCAAGACTCAAGTCCAGTACTCATTGTCTTCGGTGCGTCGGTGGCACAGTGGTTAGGACTCTCGCCGACCATGCACATGGTCCGGGGTTCGAGCCCACGCCGACGCACACTTGATACCTATGGTCGGCCTGCGAATTTTAGGCTACCGATATCCACGCTGAAAATTTCATATTTGTACCAAAAATATGGTGTGGAATCAAGCTGTAATCAAAAATAAAAGTCTTCGTTATTACTCTTCCTTTGTCTCACACTTCTGCTTACTGTCTCTATTATGCTTTTCTTGTACTTCCTTCTCTTGGTTTGTATGCTACATGGAGTGTGGCGACTTGAACTGCCGCACATTTGTGCAAAGTTCTATATCAAAAACAGACAGACTCATTGTCTTAAACATAAAAACACCTGCCAACTTGGTTACTGAGCGAATTTTTCTCCAAAGTGTACATGAAGTTCTTGAAAAATAGACTCAGAGTAGAAATCAGCTTTTCTTTGACATCAGATGCTCTCTAAACATTTCTAGCTGAGTTCATTAGTTTTAGGTTGCTGTCTAGGTGGGAAACCATTTTACATCCTGATTCATTGCAGATCTTGCACTATTTCGTCAGTGCAATTTTTTCAGATTATCGACGAAAGTGAATAGATGGCATCCCCCTTTCTGATTAGGAGGACAGTACCTTGAAAACTAGTAAATTATCCTTTTCATCATGAGCATATTTGTAATTAAAGCTCCGTAGTGAGTTATCTTCAAGAAAATTGAACTTTCAGACCTGTCCTTCCTCTACACTGAACTTGATGTTTGAGTGAGCATTAGTGAAAGTTTGTGGTAGGTTTCCGAGATTTGAATTCGCATCACAACTGATTAAGGTGTCTTCAATTTGGTACTTACAGAATTGATTGATTATTCAAATCGTGGGAAATACCCATTGGAACATTAGACTGAAAAGGACAAGAAGTTCAGCAAAGATGGCGATCTTTTCAGCGATTTCATTCTCAAAAACACCTGTACAATCGCATTTATATAGATTATTTTACATGGATACAATTATTATTTGTTTAATTCCACATAGTAACACGAAGGTGATAATAATTTTCAACTTGATATGAAAGTTTGAAGGTGTGAATATGGATTTACAAGGGACTCAGAGTTCCCCTATGTTCCCTTATCCTTCTTTTTTTGTTGTTCTGTTATCTGTTTGTGTAATTTTCTCTCTTTGCCTTTATCCAGTTCATCCTATTTTTTCAGTTATAAAATCAGTTATTTTAAGTTTGTTTCCATGCTCCTACTGATCACACTTGTAATCCGTTTAGGATAACCATTTTACAATTATGTTCTAATCCTGTGTAATTTTTTGTTTCTATGCCTCTTGTAATCTATATTCACACAACCTAACTTACATTTCAAGTTGAAAATTATGATTTCAATTCGTGTCTATGCTCATTTTGTTCACACCTGTAATTCGTTCTATCCCTGCGTCTCTAAGCTTCTGGTAATTCATATCAAGTTGAAAATAATTATCACCTTTTATTCGACTTTGAAATTATTTCTCCAGTTATCAAATATTAATTTTTGCATACGTTGTAACTGTTTTCTAATCCTATGCAATCTTGTCCCTAAGCCCCTTGTAATCCATATTCATAACTTCAAACTTTCATATCAAGTTGAAAATTATTATCACCTTCGTGTTACTATGTGGAATTAAACAAATAATAATTGTATCCATGTAAAATAATCTATATAAATGCGATTGTACAGGTGTTTTTGAGAATGAAATCTCCGAAAAGATCACCATCTTTGCTGAACTTCTTGTCCTTTTCAATCTAATGATAGATTATTGTTGATAAAACAATGTTTTCTAGATTTACAATGAAACAATCAGTTGAGAGTATTTCTAGAGAATATCGCGTTGCTGCACCCATATACTTCGTCGTTAAATCTGAAGTAGACATTCACTGTGCATCAAGGTAAGAGAGACAGAGAGAAAGTTCCTTTAGCTACTGAATCGGCATACAAACATTAATATTATGGGATTGAATGAGTTGTGCAAGAAACGTTATCCAGATTGACATTCATAAATGTCCTGGTGGTAATTTGTCACAACAACCTCATCACTAGTCAGAGAATCTTTACTAACCGCTTCACGACTGGGCAATATGGGGAATTTATCAAATATTCAGTGGCGCATCTTACATTTGGTTAGTCTTATATTCGTGGCATTGTAAAGTTCTATGGGAGATTATTCTTATTTTGATTATCTTTACTGTCCGAACTTCCTTTCTATTATGCTTTATTTCCCTATTTTCACTACCTAACTTCACCTTGGGATTCGCTATATTTTGACCTCCAACTAGAAACAGTTTTGAAACTTTCACAATCCTAGTTGATAACTACGTCACAACTGTTTTTATTTTTGTACATTTCTTTCTTTTATCGTGCTAAATTATTTAAAATCTACGTTAGATTTCTTCTTTTTATCAAGAA